CGTCATTACGAGTCGCCCCACTAAGGCTGAGCGGGGGGGGGGGGGGGGAGGACGGCCCCACTGATTGCTGTTGGCCGATCAGTGCTATTTCTTGTGCAAATCGGCAATTAACATTTGCTTCACCAGTGAAAAATTTGGACATTCAGCAACATATTTTTAGTTAAGCTGACGATGAAAAGGAAAGCCATACTGGGACCCCAAAACCTGGAATTGAGAAATCCAAGGCCTTTCATTATCCAACGGACAGCTCAGTGATTGGACTGGGAGCATCAATATGGAAAGTTACGCGAGTGCACAGAGACTATGACCGGCCGAACGATACGAGACAATGCCGCGCATCAGAACCGCTGTTTCCAAGAATAGTCATTCGGTCACTGAACAACAGCCTGAAACGCGCGAAGTAAAGTGGTGCCATGTGCCCTGCCCAAGGTTGCGTCATTAGGGCCTGCGCCGGCCAACGCGAAGAAGAATATACATGACTCGTCGATTTTTCATATTCCCAGCTTAATTTCTATGTATTCTCCGTCTTTCCGTAAGAAAAAAGTCGATGAGCAATGTTCACAGTGGCATTTGTGGCAATGGCTGCTTTATCTCCCTTGATGAACACTCCCAGCGCTAAGGGGAAGTTCAAGGTCGGGAGCCCAGGTCGGTCTCGTGACGGAGACCATGAGTGTGGGGCTCTCCAATGATTTTTCTCTCACCTTAGCAGAAACCGACGATTGTGTTATCGATAGATTCCTCTCACTCTCTTTTGTATAGTATCCAAATATATCGAAATAATGCCATCGCGAAATCCCATCTCAAATACCACAATCTTGAGCCTTGACAGCAGGAGGGGGCTATGAAATGGTAGTGTGAAAATTATGGGGAAACTTTATGATTAATATACAGAAATTTGACGTCCCCTGCAACTACTGCCCCCCCCCCCCCAACCCCCAGCCAGGGACAGCAAAGAATCCACCATGTATGAACAGCAGCGAGAGAGCACGGACAGACTTGGACCTTGGGTGAAATATCTATTCTGTCGTTAATACATGTTAGAGTCTTTGTTCTTCCGTGAGGGGGAAGACGCTCGGGTGACGGCATCCTGTGTAATAGTATTCATCATATTTTACTTGCAATTTCCGTGATACCATTCATGCTCTCCCCTGCTATCAGAGCTCCAAGAGGTCACTAACGTAGCCTGCCCAGGGCAGTCTTAGGGGGTAGAGTTAGAGAGTCCTGAATTAGACAGTCTATAACGTGCCTTCATTTTATATTTATTGTTCTAGTGATGTTTTGTGTTATCATTCAAATTTTACCCTGCAATTTCTCTAGTAACGTTTCATGCCTCCCTCCCAATCTTGGTGGCCACAAATAGTGCGTAATAGGGGGATTCCGTGGCATAGCCTTTGTAATATATGCCGATAGTAGAGGATGGGAGGAATCCCTTGATACTATAATGTCGAGATAGACTATGTGAAGGTATCTTGAATATTTACCTACAATTGGTATGTAAGGTCTAAGGTAATTTGCCCAAGTATGAAAATAGTAATTACTCATTATAGGACTGAATTGTGGTATTTGTTAGATAGTGATTGCACCCTCCAGAGACAGTCCTAAATCCAGGGTTTAAACATGTGAACCCAAACTCAAATCTAACCTTTCGCCTACCTTCTATTTCTCCCTTAGATAGGAGGGCAACCCCCCCTTTATTAACACGTTGTGTAGACTTGCAGAAAACACGACATTAAGAACTGTGGCGGTGTTTAAGGTGTTGTGGACTTGGTCTCTGATTGGTGACTGTTGAGGGTATTTTCATTCATTCCTGGTAAAGGCCTGCTGCTGATATACGCTGTATTGCTTCCCACTCTAATTTTTATGCTCTTAAGATGGCATCATTACCTCTATCTCCGTGCATCACTCTGTAACATTAGCCCCCCCACCCTGAATTTGGATAATACCATGGCCTCTGCACGTCAGCAAATCCATAGATCTCCCCTATATATATATGTCAGGATGGCATGGACAGTACACATGACGAAGGTCAGCAGTCTCTGTTTAGTCTTGTCTGTGTTTGGGACTTCTTCTTGAGTATTGGTATTGTTTGTTAAGTTCCAATTACTCCCAGCTACTCCTGGGATTGCGCTAACCCTTGACCCTTTCCTCTTTACAAATCCTGCCATACTCCATCTGCTCCCTCCTCTCTCTCTTTCACGTACCATTCTGTCTTCTACATTCTACAAACCTTTGGACATCTTTAACATATTTTTTATCCTAATCATTACTACATTCTACCTTTTTTCCCCACAATTACTTTACCATAGTACTATATGAGCTTTGATATTAGCACATTATTTCTCTAACCATTAACCATCTACAGCCTAAGTTAAAATGATCATCTGCATTTTTATATAATTATTTTCATCACTTGAAGAGGTTAAGATGGATAGTTTTAGTGTATGTCTGCCTTAGGCATCAAGTGGCATGCTGGAAACAAGAAATATCATGTTCCTTGTCATATGTAAAAGTGAGTGGAAAAGTTCGGGCAGCCAAAGGGTTAAACCAATGTAGCTTCAGATGCCTGGTGTTTTGACACCCTGAACTAGCCTATTATTGGAACCAGAGAGGTGGTGAGAGCTATCATAATGTCTTTCATGAAGGTGCTTGACCCAAGTTTCCTCTCTCCTGGTAGCCTTCACTCGGTGAACTTTGTTTTATGATAGGATATAATGAAGAAAAATTTGAATTAAATTTTGTATCATATTTAGCAGTTGTTTTAAAAGCAAAATATTTTAAAGATTTTATTTTGAATCTATCCCAACACTTCTCACTTCCTTGGTCTTCCTTATTTCACTGTTATTTTTTAATAACATTTCACACATCTTTAAAATTATTCCATGAATTGGAAACATGATGACATGTACAAATTGCTGGTTGACTTGTGTGGAGGCAACTGTTCTGTGTGTGATTTGATTGTGGCATGCTCCACTTTGCCTCCCCCCCTATCAAGGAAGAAAGAACCATAGAATCAGATCATGGGAGGGTGAGAATGGAGCCAGCTGAGACGGCTGATTGGCCACTCCAGGGTCAGACAGTGTAGTAGGTTGGTTGTTTACATATACTACTTAGGACTGGTTTATATCTCTTTATATAGTGTGTGTGGTCGTGAGTGCCCACTGGTATGGCTGGGTGATGAAGGCTTGAAGTTGGAGATCTACGGGGGAGCTGGTAGGCTCCCCCAGTTGGCTAAGGACTGGGTAGTCTTTGTGATGCTGCTGCTGTTGTTGTGGTTCTGCTGTAGGATCAGGAATGTGATCTCCATTCTGGATTCTGTGGCTTAAGTACAGGTGTGCTGTGTAAGCGTGCAGGGAACGAGGGGAGCCCTGTTGTGGTGAAAGAGCAAGAGGTGTCTGTGTCAGCCAATCAGGTCTCTGAAGTGACTTGTGAAAGGTACTTGCTATATATATATATATATATATATATATATATATATATATATATATATATATATATATATATATATATTATATATATAGATATATATATATATATATATGTATAATACACATTTTCCATAATGTCTAATCATTAACTCAAATTGGTAATCCTTAAGGGGACCTTTCCATCTCTTTGGGGAAGAAACTGAAGAGGTTGCCATAAAATTAATTAGATTTTTATTGTTATTTGTATTAGTATCCATTGATATTATGATTGATATTATTACCTATTATTATCATCTGTAACCCTTTTTTTCTCTCTCCAGTCATCCATGGGATACTGTGACCCAAGCAGTGTGGAGAAAGTACCCAAATCCTCATAATCCAGCAGTCGTTGGCACAGATGTTGTTGAACGTCGTGTAGAAAATGGTGTATTGCACACACACCGACTCATCAGTTCTCGGTGGGGCCTGCCATCTTGGGCACAAAAGGTTGGTTACTTTGCATATGTACATATTTCTCTGTTTGTGCATTACAGTACTGCAGATCATAACACTGATTTGCCTAATGTGGCATGGCACCTAAAATTCCCTGCAAAACCTTGAGCTCCAGACTCCTCTGGATCATAGCATGTATTCCATCTACGAAGGTTATGCACAGCCTTTAGCACTGCATTTCCTACGTTCATTTCATTTTACTGTGAATTGCAGTCACACCCTCACATTGACACAGTGCCTCACCCTCCTCTGACAGATTTATATTGATCTATTCAAAATATTAGTTTGAAGTTTTGTACATGCTTAGTTTAATTTTCATGTCCAGGTTCACATTTATACTTTAAAATGTGTACACATACAGACATGCGCAAGCACTCTCACATTCACCCCCCCTCCCTCTCCCTCTCCCTCTCCCTCTCCCTCTCCCTCTCCCTCTCCCTCTCCCTCTCCCTCTCCCTCTCCCTCTCCCTCTCCCTCTCCCTCTCCCTCTCCCTCTCCCTCCCTATTTCTTTCTTTCTCTTTCTTTCATTCTTTTGCTCACTTGCATTCTGTAGTTTTTGATGTGCATACTCTGTAAATGATCCTCAATTTTGACAAGCCATTGTTTATTATGCTGATGTGCCACATATATGACAGGTGTAAGGGAATTGTATTATTTAACCCATTGCCGCCGGGGATGGCAAGTACGTACATGCCATGCCCACTGTGAATCGACTTGTTCGATTGTTTTTACACATAGATGGCTACACTTATACTAAGTCACCAATGAGCCAATTACGAGTACTGCCTGTCTTGCCCGTTCACCCTTTTCATCGATTTACGAAAATATTTAATGTTATCCTAATTTGCTGTTAAAAATAACACCATCTATATTTATAGCACTAGTAAGAATAAGTTTTTTTCCCGCCAATTCAAGGAAAGGGGAAATCAGGACTAGCAGAGCCATCTATGTACAGAGATATTTCACAAAAATATAAAAAATAAGTACAGTATTTTCCCCATTTTTTTGTTCATTTTCCCTGGCGGCAATGGGTTAAGGATTAACAGAGTTACATTTAGGTGCCCCTCTAATACATATTGAATTGGTATTGCATCTTCTTCAAGTTTGTCAGTGCTAAGAGGTTTCCTTTCACACTCTACTGCCTGTTGGCATTGTATTTTTGATATAGAAGCTTGCATCTGCACCCAGACAGATATGAAAGCTGTGTTCATTCATAATACAAATTCTTTGAGAGAAAACCTTGGCATAGTGTAACAGGCATGTTGCCAATTCTAAGTGTAGATTGGCCAAAATTCCTGTTATAAATGTTAGTAATTGAATTGTTTGCAGGTCTGAATAGGACTTGTACCAACTATGTACATGTCTAGTATTAGAAGTATGATATTGGTTGTTTAGTGCATGGAATCAGTTGTTGTTTCACATTAGTGTTTGGAACAGAGCTGTTAGTGTGACCACACACAGCCCAGCCTGTCTGGGGTTGGAGAATTAACCCATTCGCCCCGGATTTATGTTCTGTCCCCTGTAGTTTTGGTGAATTTTGTTACATACAGATGGCTCCACATGTGCTCAGCCGGCAAGGAGTCCATCAGTAGGCCCTAGTTACCGACCCTGATTTTCCCATTCATTGAATTGGCAGGAAAATTAATACCATTGCTATTGATACTGCTATTGATTTTATGATTATTAAATTGTCATTAGAATATTTTAGACAATGAAATGATACAAAAAACCCTTTCCTAAAGTGAAGGTAAAGGGTAAACCGTAAACAGGTGAAATAGATAGTTCTTGATAACTGGCTATTTGGTGATTAAGAACTTGTGGAGCCATCTATGTGTGACTACAAAAAATAAACGTGTATCAAAGTGGGTATGGCATCTATTCTTGCCACTTGGGGCGAATAGGTTAAAGTAGTTGGAGTACCGAATTTACATTTTTTTTCATAGCAACTAAGGAAAAAAGATTTACAAAGCATCCAAGCAAAGTAGATACATCTCTTTGCTCTCAGCTTCATATTAGTAACCACAACATTCCTGTTATAAAGCAGATCACAATATTTCTAGACCTTTCCTGTATAAAGAAAGAGGCATCAATCTAGAATTCCTTTGCAGGTAGTACAGTATAAAAGTTATGTTGCTAATAGTTATTACTAATTGGAATTAAGGTGCAAGTTTTAGGAGCAGTTACATGGTATATTGAGTAGGATCATCTAAGAAAATGTCTTCTTTCCCTTTTATTTCATATCAGAATATATGATAGAACTTGTAGTACCAATTACTTTAATAAAATCCTTTATTTTATCATTTGATAGTCTCTTCCTGTTACATTTGTTGTTGGTGCTATTATTATTATCCTTGAGGACTATGCAGATAGTTATTAATTTTTTTCAATTGATGTGATGACAAGACATTGATTTACTTATAATTTTCTTTTTCTCAGATTCTTGGTGCTGACAGAGTATGTTATGGCTTTGAACATTCTGAAGTGGATCCTGAACAGAAAGTCATGACAATGCGGACCAGAAATGTGAGCAATTTTTGGGTTGTTCCTGTGTATATGTATTTATATGTATATGTATATATATGTATTTTTTTTTTAAACAAAAGAAGAGATTTATGAGGTTAATATTATTTTTCTTCTTTACAGCTTACGTTTTCCAATACAGTAAGCATGGATGAGCGTTTAGTTTACTTCCCAGACCCCGCTGATGACGAGAAAACTATTCTCCGACAAGAGACCATAATCACTGTGAAAGGTGTACCACTGACGTCATATATGGAAAATTATCTACTGAATAGTATATCTAAAAATTCCTTCAAGGTGAGACGAATGTAACCCGTGTGGAGGTTTTCCTTTTCAAGAATTATATTCCTCTTAATTCTAGTGCATATTTAAAGTCTTTTGCAAAATTATACTTTCTAGGTGGATTATGTGTTCATGAAGTTTGTGGAGATATTTAGTTATGTTTTAGGGAGTGGGTTCTCTATTTTTATTTAGTGCTCTAGTGCTCACTCACATTTTTTATTTTGATTTTTAACCATTTTTAAAAACCTTTTTCAACAGGGTCGTGATGCCATGGAGTTCGTCATTAGCAAGATCAACAGAGAAGTTGAAGAGCTTATGACAACTTACAAGCGTAGTACAACAGAAATATTCTCGCAGACAAGACGGTCTATTGGGGAGATCACGGAGTCGGCTCTCAGATCAGTCGATGACATCTCCTTTGTTGCGAAAAAGTCTGTTGATGGATTATCAGACGTATACAAAAGTCCATTGATGATATTTCTTGTGCTGCCAAGAAGGGCATTGATGAGATTCACAGCTTTACTCAACCAAATGAACCAATGCCAAGGATTTGATATCTATTTAGGAATATTAGGATTTTTTCAATTGTATATATTAAACAGTTTTTAGTTGGTACTGAAAACAAAAAATAAAAAATAAAAATAGCAAAAAGTAAAAATAAAAATTATCTACCCAAATACCACAGTTTAAAAGAGGAATGAGCTGAAACTGGATCTTCATTAAGCACTTTAGATATGAAAGGTATTATTAAAAAAACAAATTATTTCCTGTTTCTTGTGTGTGTATGTATATATATTAGTAGAATATATATATATATATATATATAAATAAAATATATATGTATAAAAAAAAAATATATATATATATGCATGGGAATACATAATTTATTTATAATTTGATGGATGTCTGTATATTGTAAGAGCAAACCGCTCAAATGAAAGTATTGCATTCAAACTCGCAACACATGCATTTTGAAAATTGTTTCAGTGTAGTAAACAACTTCAATCTCCAAAATAGGAAGATGAATTGAAAAATCTAGAAGCAGTGCTCAGTTTCAGTGGCCATTTACCCAGTGTCTGTAATATCATGACCTGGGAAGGACTGGAGAACCTGATACAGAAGTTGATACTTCAAGTGCTATTACTTGTCATTAAATTCTGTATATGATGTGAACACACTTCATATTCACTCAGGGTTCACACACACGTGGTATTGGCATTGTGTCTTGTTAAATGATGAACTTTGCTTGTAGTGTTCTCTTCGGGCTTGTTTCAGAGTAGAATGCTATGGTTTGGTACACCATTTATCATTGAAACCTTTCAGTGCAAGTAAGCTAGTCCATTCTTTTGTGCTGCAGTAATGATAGCAGCATGTAAAGATAACCTGAGGAAATCTGTGGAAATCCCCAAATTTCCCAGATTTTTTGACATGGCAGGTTCTCCGCATTCAGTAGTCGGCATCAGCATTAACAACACATATTTGTTTTCAGGATTAGAATCATAGCAAATACCATTTCAAAGTATTACATAGCATACTGGAATAAAGAAAATATTTCAGACTGCTGATAGTTATTTTTACTTTATTCAAGATTTTTGTACACCAAAAATTTAAATTTCTTAAGTCCATATGGTTAATAGGACATTGCTAATACCTCATCCACTACCTAAGACAGTGCATTTTGTAAGATTTATTATAAGCTATTTAATTTTGTTTTCTTTTGTCACCATCTATTAATTTTTGTAAAACAAGGAATCTAACACTGAAGTATGGAAATTGTATTATTACTGACTCGGTTATGTGTGCTTTATAAAATTATTTTAATCTGGTTAACTTTGTCAAAGTTGAGGAATAGTTCATATAAATACTGTGCTGACAGTTAGTGAATCCATCAATGCAATTTTTTAATTTTTGTAACCAAACATAGCAATGCACTGTACAGCCATTCCTTATTACTTTGTTTTCATGTTTTCATTGTTAAAGCTGAGATGTTTTTTTTTGTGTTGAATATTTTTTATATAGAATATCCTATACAGTATAGTATTTATTTTACTATATGTTTCTCTACACCACATCCAGAATTTAACAATATATAGATCAGGATCATATGAAGTATTATTGACACCTCTGCATAATAAAAAAGAGCTGATAAAGGCTTTCATACCAAGGAGGCTCTGTCTATACAAGGGGCATTACTTGTGGGGGGGGGGGTGTACTTACCAAACCACAATCTAGGTCAGAAGTATAAATGTATCAATCCCCCAATCCCTTGCCTGTTGTTGTTGTTGGGGGGGGGGGGGGCTTAGGAGGTAGAGACTGGGACCCAATGCTGGGAAACCCCTGCCTTGGGGCTCGGCCCTCGACTCAACTAATTATGCATGGTCTTTACCCCCCCAATCCCTTGCCCGTTGTTGTCGTGGGGGGGCTTAGGAGGCGGAGACTGGGACCCAATGATGGGGAACTCCCCAACCTTGGGACTCGGCTCTCGACTCAACAAATTATGCATGGTCTTTTTTTCCCTTCCCACTTTTGTTTCTGTCCCTTCACCAAACCCTTCTGCTATCCACCTCCTAAGGTGTGAGAGCCGTGCTGAAAGGATGAAAGGCTGACTTTGTGCCAGTCCTGAACGGCCTGACGGAGCCATAGGCATGGTATTCCCCTGATTTTAGTTATCTAGCCCTTACCCCTCAAGGGGACCCTGAAGGGTGGACTGTTTTTATCCCCAACATAATCCAGGCTTACCATGGCCAGTAATGAAAATATATCCCCACTGTTACGGGCAATGAGGCTTGCCCCTTTATCAAATAGCCCCAACGAAGTAAACCCACCCGATTCCCCGACCCCAGGCTCTCCTTTGACCACGGCTCCGAACACTGCAACAACTACCCCCTCATCAATACCTACTAGTACGGTAGCCAACAATCAACCCCCAAGAGACATTTCCACTCTCCCAGCATGCTCAACTTCAACACCTCTACCCCCACAACCTCCAACATCAACCACCCCATCCTCCCTTATTAATACCTTACAGCCTTATTGCCCACCTCTCCATAACACTACCTCCCTCAACACTACTCCATCTTCGTCACGCCCTCGCCCTTCTACCACCCCTATCTCTAAAACAATCTTGAATACTCTCTTCAGTGCAGCCAAATGGGACCGATTTTTCGTGATCCCTCCCACAGCTCCCTACTCTGACAACACCCTTCTCTTCCAACAATGCCTCCAAAAACAAGTAGGTAAAGTCTCTTTCCGTAGCCGACCCGACCGCTCCCGTTTTCACAGTAACATCCGAAAACCAAGCTATAACATTAACAAAACTAACTGACCTATATGGTAACCCCATCCTTGCAGAACCCCATCCAACCCTCAATACTTGCACCGGAACAGTCTCAATCTCCCCAGCAAATTGCCCAATCTATGACAAAGATTGGTCAGATTGTGGAGAAGATCTACTTGCCTGTCTCACAGACTACGATGCAACATCAGTACAATGCTACTCCATTCCCCCCAGAGGTCATAGAAAGAAACCCACTAACATAGCCAAAATTACCTTCCGTAGACATGACCTTCCCTTTAACGTCTACATAGGAGGAGAATCCCTCCCTGTTCGTCCATACCAACCTCCTCCACGTCAGTGCCAAAATTGTTGGCGTCTAGGACACCCAGCCAAACATTGCCGTTCCACAGCCAGATGCCCAATATGTGCCCAACCTGGCCATGCCCGATCTAACTGCTCTGCACAATCACGCACATGTGCCAACTGTGGCGGCCCCCATAATGTATTTTATAGGGGCTGTCCCACCTACAAATTTGAATCTGAGGTAGCAACTCTCAGATTCAAACTTGGACTCACAGACAGGAAGCACGTCGACGTGGATTCTCTCTTACTCCTTACTCCAGTAATACTGCTCATTCTAACACTTCTCCTAAACCCACCCCTCCTACATCTAACCCCCCCACTTCTACCTCCTACCTTCCCCAGTCAAACTCTTGCCATCCTAAATCCAGACACTCCAATCTCTACTACAGATACTCCAATCACCACTACAACCCCAACACCTTCCCCTCTCCCTCCTCATACTACCCGTAACAGACAGAACAAACGTTCCACCCCCTCTTCCCCTACCACACAATCACCTCCACCATCCTTTGCCCCTACTCTTGAGACACCAGTCCTCTCTTCCCCCCCTCCCCCCCCCAATCCCTTGCCCGTTGTTGTCGTGGGGGGGCTTAGGAGACGGAGACTGGGACCCAATGATGGGGAACTCCCCAACCTTGGGACTCAGCCCTCGACTCAACTAATTATGCATGGTCTTTTTTTTTTTCCCTTCCCACTTTTGTTTCTGTCCCTTCACCAAACCCTTCTGCTATCCACCTCCTAAGGTGTGAGAGCCGTGCTGAAAGGATGAAAGGCTGACTTTGTGCCAGTCCTGAACGGCCTGAGGGAGCCATGGGCACGGTATTCCCCTGATTTAGTTATCTAGCCCTTACCCCTCAAGGAGACCCTGAGGGGTGGACTGTTTTTATCCCCAACATAATCCAGGCTTCCCATGGCCAGTAATGAAAATATATCTCCACTATTAGGGGCAATGAGGCTTGCCCCTTTATCAAATAGCCCCAACGAAGTAAACCCACCTGATTCCCCGCCCCAGGCTCTCCTTTGACCACGGCTCCGAACACTGCAATAACTACCCCTTCACCAATGCCTACTAGTACAGTAGCCAATAATCAACCCTCAAGGAACATTTCCACTCTCCCAGCATACCCAACTTCAACACCTCTACCCCCACAACCTCCAACATCAACCACCCCATCCTCCCTTATTAATACCTTACAGCCTTATAGCCCACCTCTTCATAACACTACCTCTATCAACACTACTCCATCTTCATCACGCCCTCGCCCTTTTACCACCCCTATCTCTAAAACAATCTTGAATACTCTCTTCAGTGCAGCCAAATGGGACCGATTTTTCGTGATCCCTCCCACAGCTCCCTACTCTGACAACACCCTTCTCTTCCAACAATGCCTCCAAAAACAAGTAGGTAAAGTCTCTTTCCGTAGCCGACCCGACCGCTCCCGTCTTGTAACAGTAACATCCGAAAACCAAGCCATAGCACTAACAAAACTAACTGACCAATATGGTAACCCCCATCCTAGCAGAACCCCATCCAACCCTTAATACTTGCACCGGAACAGTCTCAATCTCACCAGGAAATTGCCCAATCTATGACAAAGATTGGTCAGATTGTGGAGAAGATCTACTTGCCTGTCTCACAGACTACGATGCAACATCAGTACAATGCTACTCAATCCCCCCCAGAGGTCATCGAAAGAAACCCACTAACATAGCCAAAATTACCTTCCGCAGACATGACCTTCCCTTTAACGTCTACATAGGAGGAGAATCCCTCCCTGTTCGTCCATACCAACCTCCTCCACGTCAGTGCCAAAATTGTTGGCGTCTAGGACACCCAGCCAAACACTGCCGTTCCACAGCCAGATGCCCATTATGTGCCCAACCTGGCCATACCCGATCTAACTGCTCTGCACAATCACGCACATGTGCCAACTGTGGCGGCCCCCATAATGTATTTTATAGGGGCTGTCCCACCTACAAATTTGAATCTGAGGTAGCAACTCTCAAATTCAAACTTGGACTCACACTGCGTGAAGCCAGACAGGAAGCACGTCGACGTGGATTCTCTCTTACTCCTTACTCCAGTAATACTGCTCATTCTAACACTTCTCCTAAACCCACCCCTCCTACATCTAACCCCCCCACTTCTACCTCCTACCTTCCCCAGTCAAACTCTTTTGCCATCCTAAATCCAGAAACTCCAATCTCTAATACAGATACTCCAATCACCACTACAACCCCAACACCTTCCCCTCTCCCTCCTCGCACTCCCCGTAACAGACAGAACAAACGTTCCACCCCCTCTTCCCCTACCACACAATCACCTCCACCATCCTTTGCCCCTACTCTTGAAACACCAGTCCTCTCTTCCCCCCCCTCACAAGAAATCCTTTATCCCCCACAACTCCCCAACCAACTCCTCAGAAGAAACTATTGAAAATATTCAAGATTACTTAATGCAAACTGACACTCGACCTACAACCCCTGCTCCTTCCACACTCCAAGTAACTGCTGATATCCATCCCCCTCCTAACGATATCCCCCCTACACCCTATCCTCCCTACCCCCTCCCAACACAGCCCATCCCCCCCGACCCCGACCCCAACCCAGCCCACATTAACCCTCCCACCATCCCCTCTATCCCTTCCACTCCCTCCTGGATACACACGTGAATCCCTTATGTCACAAGTATCACCTTCCTCAGACCCTCCATCTCCTAATACCCCTCCTGATAGAACACCAACTCCCACATCTCTCCCATCTCAAACCTCTCAGTCCTTATCCCACCCTCTAGCTGATACCCCTCAAAGTCTCCAACACGTACTGCAATCTATAACACTAAATCAACGAAAGTATAACTATCCTTCATTGGAATATTCGCGGTTTCCGCTCCCACAGACCTGACCTTCGTCATATCCTTTCCTCTTATAACCCATCTATTGTATGCCTTCAAGAAACCTTTCTTACACATCCTCCAATACCAATCCCCAATTATCATTTTGTCTCTTCCCCCCATTCCCTTTATGTCTCGTCTATACTTATCAATCAGAAAACACCTTATGTCACACCATCCTTTCAAACCAATGTCCCTTGTACAGTTATTCGTATCTTCCTTCATCGTTGGATCACAGTGATTTCAGTCTACTTCTCCCCTTCCCACCCCATTGACTTTGTTGCTTTTGAAAATCTAATTTCCCAACTTCAACCACCTTTCCTCATAGTAGGCGACTTTAACTGCCGCCACACTCTTTGGGGTGATTCTATTACCAACTCCCGAGGCCGATCTCTAGAGCGCTTCCTCTCCACAGCTGACCTTACTATTCTAAACTCAGATCGCCCCACACACTTTGATACACGCACGCAATCTTTTTCATGCATTGACCTCTCTCTATGCTCCCCTTCTCTTCATATAGATTTCCACTGGTCAGTCTTAGACCACTTTCCCTATAGTGACCACTTTCCA